AAGTCAAGTGAGAGTGAGGGCGAGAAATAGTGGTCTCAGTTACGAAGTAGTCAATGAGTAGATTCGAAATGTTAGATAAATAATTGTTTTGGATCATAAATTGATTATTGTGGTGTATATTATATATAATAATAATTTGTTGACGCCACTTCATCATCACACAAAGCCACAACTAACCTTGAACCACATATGAGTGATTTGACTCGAGCCACATTTTTCTGTGACTCGGACTCGAGGCAGAAGACTCAATAAGCTGGAAAAACACTAATAAAACTCATATAAAACTCTACATTCTTATGGTGGTGCTTTGTATATTTGATATATATGCGAGAAGAGAGAAAACAGTTATATAATACCCAGCTTTAGATTTGGGTGACAAAACAAGATCTTGGTAGATCGGTTCAAGTCCCGTGAATTCAATAGTACTTTTGTTTAAGAGTGATTAATCAAACTGTATTGAGTAGGATTCTAATAAAGCATAGGATTTTTGAGAAATGTATAAATTGAATAAGAAAACTTTTTGTTTTGTTATTAGACAAAAGAAATTAACGTACTGTTGGTAAAACTACGGAATTTTTTCTTCTTCTTATTATTAAGCGTTTTTTTACGTCGCTGTTTCATATTTAACCTTCTATACGAATGTTTTGCCAATCCATGGTAAGATATAGCCAATATTCCATGAAATCTTTTTATCAGTAGTACCACATTGCAAGGCTGATATTTCGAATTTGACCGGTTGATTCTGTCATCAGCACTGATTAGCACTTCAAACACGCCATCTCCGTTAGAATTTGTAGATTCATGTCTATAATTCATTGAAACAGATTTAACTGTTAAATAACATTTTCAGTACCAATTGTCACAGCTGGGCAACCAGCCATTGTATACTTGAAATACTTTGTAAATAGATTTGACGCCCTAGAGTATTTGTCGTGTTGTTGTGCATCTAATAATATGTTTACCATCATTAAGATTACCAATATGCATGTGATTTTTCACTAACTCCTGTTTTTGTTCATTTTCAAATGAAACAAGCCCTTGACAACAATTTTATGCCATCATTGTCGACATAATTGTTAAATGCTTTGAAATGAATGCTCACCTGACCAAAGAGGGTTATGAAATACTGAGAGCTTCTTAACATCTGAAATAAAACACAAAAGCTATTTAAAAAGATTTAACTAAATATAAAAATCAATTAAATATTTTACATTTTTTTTCTCGTGTATCAGTATTCATACATCGGCATCATATCATTCTGAGTCTTAAACAATAAATTATCTCCTTCATCCTAGTGAATGTGCAAAAATCGGGTCCTATTGGGTAGACAGACATCACACGGACTTATTTATCGAAAAAAGAGAGTTTTCATGCTTTGAAACTTGTAGAAAATTATCTGCATTTCTGGTATTGCACACAAGAGAGAAAAGTCCTTGTGAAAAATCTTGTGACGAGAGAAGAAAGTTTCTAACTGCTATATAATTTACTTCATCATTGATAAAGTAATTACAAAATGAAGTAATAGACAAAATGTTGAACATTTTGTCTATTTTAAGGTTCATGCTGCGAAATACAATAATAGCTCTAGTAATGTTCATATACATGTTCAATTAATTTATAAATCAAGAGTAAGAACTCAAGCATAAACTTTAGACAATAACGTTCAGATATGTCCTTCATCACAGACAAAAATCCTTTCTTTAGACATGGGTAAAAAATTTGGCTAGAAAGTTTGTTAAAAGTAAATAATTTCACTAGTAAACTATAATGAATATTTTTCTTGAATAGTCTATTTTTTTTCTATTCGTCGATGAGCTAAAACAAATTTTCACTTAAACTTATGTCGCGTGAATCTTGTTGTATACATGTTTAAGAAAATACTCAAAGGATGATGATAGAATGCTAGGAAAGTTTTTGTATCTACTGACCATTTCGAACAATGATGATTACTCGGTGTCAAAATTTCTTCTGTTGTTTCTATCCATACTGCTTATTAACAATCACATTAACATTAGTAAAAATTATTACTGAAGAAATGGAAGTAAATAAGAGTGCAATATCCTGAAAAATCATTCAACTATACTGTTTCAATCACAGAACTCATCAATCAAATTATAATTGTGCTAAATAATTGCCGAATTTTTAATAAACTTAATCAAATTTTATAAATGTAAAGAATGTCATTGTTAGAACAGCAATGAGAGCTAGTTTCTGTTAATAAAAATCAATTATACATATCCTAAAATCTCGTTTAAACTTGTTAAATTACTTATAAAAATAAGCTCAAAATAACAGAAAAATATATATTGCAGATTATGAGTATGAGCTTAGCAAAAAAAAGACTATATCGATAAATAATGGTGCATAGAGCAAAAAAAAGCAGTAGTATAACTAAAAAATGAATGCAAAAGAGATCAATTTAAGTTTTGATAGATATCAAGCCAATGCACCCATAGGATCCCAAGCTACAAGACGAATCGGCTCTTGATCAAGAACAGTCAGAACGGATTTAGATAAATGTTTCTTATCCACTACTACTTCATATAAATATTCATTGAACCAATCATCACTCATTATCAAATAACCCTTATCACCTTTGTCATCACCATGTGAATTTTCTACACGCCATTTTACACAAACTAAATTATCACTATTATTACGAGCTAATTCATTATTATTTAATGTTCCTTGTTCATCTGACGAAACATGATTACTATCATTTGAAGGTTTCGGAGTTTGTTGTTGTTGTTGTCCAGCT